TTAGAAAACAGAGATCTCCTTGTCTTAGAAATGCAGCTCCAATGCAGGATGCAGTATAGATTACATGACATGTGATCTGTAAGAAATTTAAGGATGCTAATTAACGTAAAGGTTATTGCATTAACTTTTTGTCTGTCATAGCTGTAGACATTTTTCATTTGTTTTATGGTAGTTTTCTTGTATTACTAAGGAGTATGGGCTTGAACTTGTTTTTATTACTTTTCTATTCAAGCAGACAAATCTATGGCTCATAAAGTCTGAAAAACTGAGATGGGAACTTACTCCCCTCTGAGCTCCATGAACATCATTATAAAGGGCATCATATTTTTTAATATATATATAACCTTTTCTGTATGCAGTACAACTTTTTCCACTTCACATAGTGCCTTCACACTTTTATTAAAGCAGAACTCTAGGGGAATATTTGAGAAATGCAGAAGTTGCATGTAAGGAGAGACTGCAGTATTGTGCCCTTGTAAGGAGTACGGGAGCTTGGAAGGAACTCTGCAAAGCGGCAGGAATAAAAGCCCCCGTATCTCTGTCCTGCTTCCAGCAGCAGCCCTGCGAGAGAGTTTGGTTTCTGTTCAGTGCCCTGCCGGCTGCATGAACCTTTCATCCCTCTGAGCAGGGCTGCCCAGCCTCAGTGGGAGGAATGAAGATGAGGAGGTGGGGGCTGGACCCAAGCAGGCTGAAGAATGCAGTTCTGAGGCAGGCTGTAACCCTTTGTGGGCTCGCAGGAGAAGAGGAGATCCCTCCCACCCTCCCAATGCCCTCTGTAAGGGAGTTCTTCTCTGGGGAAAGAGCATGAGCCCTGGCTCCCCATGGGAGCAGCCATCTGAAAGCCTCACATCCCTCAGCCTTGGAGTTGAGATTGAGCAAGTCACACACATGGCTGTTAATGCCACAATGGATTTAGACCTACTGTTGAAATGGTAGGTTCAAAACAGACTTTAAGACTAAATCATGCTGGAAAGCTGATGTTCAAAGTGACACTCTCAGAACCACGTGCAATTTATCTTGCCTAATGTCACTTGCCTGCAATCACTTAACTGAAATCCATCTTAACTTGTGCTTCCTGGGTTTTAAAAGCAGTCTTTTCTCTGACTTAAAGCTTATTTAATGGGCAGGCCCTTGTAGCTTTTCTCTCTAATCATTTTTCCTTCCTTTTAATAAATAACCTCATTTTCTTTTCAGACACTTTATAAAGTTTTCATATTTTTTTTAATTCTGTTTTACAGTATGGAGTTGGCATTCAGCAACCCTGAGTATATAARCAGGCAACTTGCTATTATTTATTTCCAAAAGTGATGAAATTTAAATTCCTTATCATAACCTTTCTAAAGTTTCTTTATAGCACATTTATAGTTTCAGAAGATAATCCTGTTTTTTCCCATTTTACTGTAGTTCATATTTCTTTTAGCTGCAGTTACAGTCAACAAAAAGTGAAATATTCTCTTAAAACTGCAGAATCAAAGAGAATTAAGTCCATAGAAAACATGTATCTTTAAAAATAAAGAAAGAAAAAAAAGAAGATAAATAACTCTTCTACCTTTCATTTGTTTAGGGGAACGTCTACYGTATACCCACACACTCTTGGAGCCTCTGCATGGGATTATTGTGGTGCCGGGCAATCTGCAATGGGATTGTCCTGTTTGGCATTAGGCGATAGATGGAATTACACTGACTCCCTTGTAGGAATAATTAAAGTGGCATCAAAGATAAAAATATGGCCATAAAGGAAGTGTAATTCCTTTGGATGGAAGTTTCACTTGATTTCTCTCTACGTATGTAACAGAGGTTAAAGTCTTTATAGGATAAACACGGAATCATATGCAGGAAGAGTCTCGGAGTCTGCCTTACTGCTTGGCACTACCTGCCTCACCCTTTCCAGAAAGTTGCATTTTAGCAATTCCCTGCAATTTGGGGCAATATCTGAATGAGGAAAGCAATCTGTAATCCCAGATGTATTGTGTTTTTATACTACTTTGGTATAAGAAAACAGATTTGGGTTTGTCAACATACAAAATGTTTGAAAATACGTTTCTCCTTCCGCATTGCCTTCCCGTGCCCCCATTTCCTCTCCCTATAAAGTGCATGGAAAAGTGGAAAGAATTGCAGTCAGAATAGCCTGATGATGCTTTTTTTCATAATAGCTCATACATTTGTTAAAAATGTAATGTGAAATTGTGCACTTTTAGGGGGTGTAAGTGCCCCAGGGCCRGAATCGAAAGGTGAGGAAAGATAGCAGGTTTCTAGCAGGTTTCCATATATCTGACTCTGCTATAAAGCAGCTGTAGTGGCTGGTGCCTTGTTCTTGAGCCAATCCTGGCTCTTGTGCACGTGTGTTTCTCCTCAAGGACCTCTCTCTGCCTGGGGAAGCCCAGACCTGGGATGCTGCTGTCATCAGCTGTGTCATCTGCTGGCAGAAGTACCTCCAACTGTTAGTCCCCAGGCTCCAGCGTATTAATACAACTTTCATTACAACAACTGTCATTAATACAACTTCTTCAGAAATTCTGGAAGTCTTGTTTTTCTTGTTGTTAAAATTCCTCCATATATTTAGAGAGATATTTTTAAGTGCACTGGCATGTTTGGTGCGTGGGCAACRTCTTTGACAATGATAAACAGCAAAYCTTCTCTTGTGAGTGGGTGCCTTCCTCAGTGTCATAGGCTTAAGTTATGATTAAAAAGAAAATCCTTTATTTAAGATCTAAGCAGGTTAGAAGCCTAGACTGACCAATAGCTTAAACTAAGTTAGAGGATATAGATTAATCCATGCCGTGGACTCCATGTTATCTCCTTTGCATTCAAAAAGACACCACGTTTCAGAGTACTCAGTGTTTTCAGATACTGCTGGAAAAAGTCTTTAAATTTTTAATCAGTATAGGAAAGCACCCTTCTTCAGGAAAGATAATTAAGTAAAAGCTTTATTCTAATTATGTAGTGAGAAGTAAGCATATAATACAATATAATAAAATTAAACAGGTGCTAAAATTTTTGCATGAGTCATGGGACATCTTGCTGTAAAGTATTTCCTAATTCAGTTATGTCTCARGTATTAATAGCTCCTGAAAGCTAATCTGTCTGAGGGCTTAATGAACACTGACCTACAATTTACAGGGTGCTACTCCGCGCCAACTCCCTTTGTGGGCACTCCTTACATGCAATTTCTGTAAGACAGTTTGCTCCTCCTCTGTACTGATAGCCTTCCTCATTCACAATAATATCCCTTTGTAGATGAAGATTTAATTTGGTCACGGAGTACTACTACTTGATCTTCCAAAAAACACCCCTCACCTCAAATGCTCAGATCTAGTGGGAAAGGTAGATTTTCTCGCTGTAGTGATTGGATGAATTGAGATCATTGTGCCAGAAACATTTTAGGTTTTTATAAAAGTGTCGGAAGCAAGGCACTTACACCAGAAAAGAATAATTTAAAACACGATTGTAGAAAAAAAAGTAGGAAAAAACCCTACAGGTATGTAGTATGTGGAGCAGCAAATCATTCAATCAGGCTGTTAACTGACAGTAACTTTACACAGAAATATGTTTAAAAGCTGGTGAAGCTTCTATTTGGGTGTCTTTGTTAAATAACTCATTGATATGACACTGGGGCTCCAGTAGTTTTGTCTCAGATCTATATGAAATGGTACCTACAAGAAAAAAAAGAACATTTTTTATTGAAAGCAGTGTTTTAATACCAAAAGTCTACCTAGAAAACTACTTTTTCTTTACACTATTTTGTCACAACTGCTTGAAAGTTATACTGAAAAGGGGCAGAAGTGTTCAGTATATTTAAAAAAAAAATAAAACAGGCACTGTCTTTTTTTCTTCTTACTGGTAAATGTCCAATTTCAATCTCTGACATCACGGCAACTTTTGTTACTAAATATTCAGAWTTCAGAATAGGATCATGCTTGTCACCAGTATCAATGGCTATCCTGAAGCAGATCTATTGCTGTGGACGGTAAGAGGTGCATGAGCACTCCCAGTTAATAGCGCTTCCTGGGCTGGAGGAGAAGATGCTTGCTTACCCCCAGCAATGTGCTTGCCCACTGCTATCTTGTGCTTAAGCAGCCTGTCTCTCAACAGGAAGATATTTTTGCTGATGAGATAGACCACTGAAATTGTACATCTTCATTTTAGGTATTATGAACATGTCATGAGAAACATCTGCTTTGACTTGTCATTTGAATAGAACTGATGGAGAAATCAATCATTGGTGGAAGCCCCCAGCATCTAGGGTTTTTATACTGTCCCTTTTTATTCAACTTTTTATTCTGAACAACAATGCCAACTTTCAGAACTGAAATTCTTTTAAAATTAAACACCTATATTGCTAATATTTTTGACTTGAAGGAGAAAGACACCATTCCAAATTAAAAGAAGCTAAATGGTCTCCTCTTCACTTTCGTTATGTGACACTTTCATAATGTGACACAGAATGGATACAGAAATCCTAAAAATAAAACACAACAAACATAAGACATTTCTAAGAAAGTCTACTGACACAACTGGAAAAAAAATTTTGAGCTGCCTTCCTCAAGGATATTTCATTTTATTTTTTCTAGTAGTTGCTCACCATCTGCATTTTTTTTCCATTTTAATTTAGTGATTCAAAAGCTGAACAGTGAAGACAGTATCAACATCTTCTTCCCTTCAAAGTCAATACTGTCCAAAAGTCAACACTGTAGGAATGGAAGAGCATTTTTGGTCCTGTACAAAAATAATGAAGTTGAAGAAACTGAGGCAACAAGAAGCTTGAGAAACACGTTCCACTTTTGTATCATGCAAATCAGTTCTGCTGGCCACAAACCAAGGAGGCAGAGTTTGTACTCTAATAAATACTCCTGTCATCTTTGTCTTTAACTGAAAGTAGCAGAATACTTCCATTTCAGCTAGGAAAGTAAAGTGATCTTTTATGTAATTTTCTAATTACCTAATAGTCCTGTAATTACTGACTTGAACACCTTTGTACTTAGACACACTGTCTTTTCTAGGTCACGTTTCGGACAAGAATCTACCACTGTAATATTAACAGCCAAGGCGTCATCTGCCTGGACATTTTAAAAGACAACTGGAGTCCAGCATTAACCATTTCTAAAGTTCTCCTCTCCATCTGCTCCCTTCTCACAGACTGCAACCCAGGTAAGGTGAACAACTTGCACATTTGCATTCATTCCTGCTTCCTAGTCTGTCGGCTATTAGAACCTGGCTAGTGCACTGCTTTACTGCCATTATGAAAAAAATGGACAAAAATGTGGGATTTAAATTTCATTCCATCCATTCCATCTAAATGGATGCATTGTGTAGAAAGAAGGCACAATTCTAAGAGTTCAAGAATGTTTTTAGTATGTGAGAATAAAAATTTGTTAATTTAAGATGTTAAATCAATAGAAAACACMTTGTAGTAGGCATTAATTTGGATATTACAACAGGATATTAGTATCAAGAAATATTAATGAGTTAATAAATATTGAAAAGGAAAAGTTTCATTTAAATATGCTGATAATATGGTCTCTGGAAAGAATATTAATAGTACTGACAATGATAGATGTCTAGCACAGACTCTACAAATAATGAAAATTAATTTAAATGAAGTTTATTCAATATCTTGGACAGCCAGTATGAGTATTCAAAGCAAGCTGTCATTCTTATTAACTAGCAGAGCACTTAACCTCTTCCCTCAGCTCTTACAGATTTGTTTTTTATTACTGACCRCTAGATTTGTAATTTCCTCTTTCTTTTACTCTATTTATCAATGAATTATTCTGAATGTAGCCTTGGAAAACCATAGTATATTGAAATCATGAAGGAATTATTAAATCAAAATTAGGTCATCAGCTTCCAAGTCTTGCTTTTGTTTTTGTTTGGTTATTCTACACCTTTCCTTGTTTTTTTTTTTTTTTTTAATGTGTTTTTTAAATCTTTAGTTTTTCTAAGAAAAGGTTTTCTCCCAACCAGACTGCTAAAAATTTGCTTTTCAAAAGACAGAATGTGAGATTCTTATGTAACCAGTGACTGAATCAAAAGCTCTAATGGAGGTCTAAACTGTTACRAAGCTCAAAGTAAGGTGGAAGTGGACCAAAACGCAATTGACGTTTCTTTGTGTGTGTTGTTTGTTGCCACATATAGCATTAAAAACCTCACTGTTCCTACTAAAGAGTTGGAGCTGTGGAGGAGACCTAGCTTGCCATTTCAGGAATGGTTATTGCAGGTGTATTGAATGCTCTCTACTGACTGTGCTGGAAGATTGACTTTGTGTACTGTCTACCCCTAAAAAGTACCAACACGAAGTCAGGCAGATTGTTGACAARAATCTAAAGAAAATAAGTGAGTATTTACTCAACTATCTTACAGAACTGGTGAAAAGCTACAAAAAGAATGCTATAAATTTGGTAGTTTCCTAATTTGTTTTGAAACCAAGCAGGAAAGCTGTGTGGGGAGTCAAAAATTGGAAATGCACAGCCGCTCATTTGTATTCACCTGTCTTTGAACAGATACAATTTGAAATTTGTCCAGTCTCATGTAGTGATTTGAAATCTAGAAGTTTACTACCTCTGCCTCCTCACTCTTCCCTAAGCCTATTTTAAAGACCCTGTATGTCAGTACACTGAAAATGGTTACTCGCAAAGTATTATCAACTGCAACAAGTAATCACACTAAAAAAGGGAAAAATTCTTCTCTTTAGGCAATGACTTTTCTCTCCAAGGCGATAACTGTAAGCACTGTCGTGACTGCAACTAGAACTAAAAAGTTTTATGACATTTCATTTTCAATGTAAGCACTCCCTTTGAATATATAGTGGTTTTGGATTTTGTTGCTGTTTCATGTTCAAATCTTCCTATGAATTTCGGAGGTACTCATGCAATTTCTTATTTTGTGTTGTGAGTGCTCTTGTTTGAGGGTCTGAGGGCAGGTAGATGTGAACTACTGACTTCTTTTTACCTTCCATTTAGGTTGCTTGTTCTTTATTAGATATTTGCTTKAGTTAGCTTTGAATTTCAGTGATGTCCAGTAGAAGGCTTGCATAAATTTAGGAGTTTTGATTTTTCCATGTTTTGCATAATACCCTAGAATGTTTTTTGTGGTTTTGTTGCACTGCTTATCCTTTTCATTTCTTAAGAAATTTTATTACCAAATCATTGGATTAGATGTTCCATGATTGAACATGCTGCTTTAAGTTGACCACTCCTCCCCGTGGGCAAAAGCTGGTGGAGTTCAGGATCCAACGAGGAGGAGGCAGGGCAGTAAGTAGCCTTGCCA